CTGAGGAATTCACACTGTTGTGGCTGGAGGACTTTGGGAACTGGGGTTTTAGTCTGGGAACATTCTTGCTAGAGGTTGTAGCTAATAAACATAGCTGGACTGAAATGGCATTGTCTCTTGGAGTTCCTTGGGCTAGGCCTGACATCAATCTTCCCAGACTAAAACCTGGACTGAAATGGCATTGTCTCTTGGAGTTCCTTGGGCTAGGCCTGACATCAATCTTCCCAGACTAAAACCTGGACTGAAATGGCATTGTCTCTTGGAGTTCCTTGGGCTAGGCCTGACATCAATCTTCCCAGACTAAAACCTGGACTGAAATGGCATTGTCTCTTGGAGTTCCTTGGGCTAGGCCTGACATCAATCTTCCCAGACTAAAACCTGGACTGAAATGGCATTGTCTCTTGGAGTTCCTTGGGCTAGGCCTGACATCAATCTTCCCAGACTAAAACCTTTATCTCCCTGAGCTTGGCCTTCATAATTCCATTCCATCACAAATTAAAGTTATTCATTTCCAAATGTTCTGTAGAAGAGGACTGGTATGATAAAAGAATGGGGGATAACCTGACCTTGGGCTGCTGGCAGGGGGGGACTGAGGGGGCTGCCACTGAGGAAGGCAGCCTTCAGGCCTCAACCTCTTAATATCTTTAAGTGGGTAAATGAGACTGAGCTTAAAAGTCTGCTGGCAACCAGTGCAATATCTGGAAAATAGGTGTTCCAGGTAGCATTGGTCAGCAAGTGGGCAGTTGTGTTCTTTGCTGACTGCAGCTTCCAAGCTGTCTTCAAGGGCAGTCCCAGATACAGTGAATTATAGTAGTCTAGTTAAAAAAAGACACAATGGTCCAGAAAATGGTTCAACTGGTGGACTAGCCAAAGATCTCCAAAGACTCTCCTGTCCATAGCCTCCACCTGCTGCTCTAGCAAGAACAGGCAGTCCAGAAGAAGCCCCAGATTACATACCTGTTCCTTCAGAGGAAATGGGACCTCATCTAGGGCAATATATTGAATATTCATGGAACACGAAGGTTTCTATACCAACTATAACTAACTTGCTGGAATTCAGTTTGAGTCTGTTCTGCTCCATTCAGAGTTCCAGGTATTGGGTAAGACCTTTCACTCCATCACTGCTTAGCTTGGAGTAGAGATGTAAAACTGGTATAATCATCATTTTGATGATACCTAGCCCCAAACTGATGGATTATTTTCCCTAGTAGCATCATATAGATGTTAAACAGCATGGGGGAGAGAGCTACATTCTAGGCATCCCATATTAAAGTGCCCGAAGGCTTGACCTCCCCCTCCCCCAAGAATACCAATTGGAACTGGATGTTCAGGAAGGAGCAGAGCCACTGTGAAACAGTGCCTTCAATCTCCAACCCTTGAAGATGGTCCAAAAAGATACCATGGTTGATGGAACTGAATGTTGCTGAGAAATCTAGTAGGACAAGGAGGGTTGTATTTTCCTCATCCAGATCTCAAGCAGGTCATCCACAAGAGTGACCAATGCAGTTTCTTTCCTAGCCCAAGCCTAAAGCTTGCTAGAAGGGACCAGATAATCTCATCCATCCCTGGAGTTGAGTCTCAGCCACTTTCTTAACAACCTTGCCTAAAACACATTGAATTAGAGACCAGTTATGTGGATGGTTTTTGAGGAGCTGGTATACTACTACTTTCTTCTAAGCTGGCAGCATAACTCACTCCCCTCCAAAACATGTTCGCCACTTTACTATATTCACATAGTTATGCCCTCCCAGACCAAAGGTTATGACCTACGAGGGGCATGGATCTAATTTACAAGTGGCTGAAATCTCACAGAGGATCCTGTCCACATCTTCCGATGTCACAGGACCTAAAGATTCCCAGATATTACAAATTGTTCTCTTTCATCACATAAAATTCTGCCCCTCTAGTGTTAATCCAGACATCAGAAATTGAAACTACCTTGATAGTACCTTAGCAACTAAATCCTTGACATTCTATGAAATTGTTCTATGGATTTTTTAAAAAATTATTTGCCAACTTCTGCAGTATATAGGTATTTACTGCTTTTTTGGGGTGGCTCCATTATTAGAGTGAACGATTATAGAAATGCTTATGGAAGTACAGTTTCTTTATTAAATTATCAGGGCTATTGTAATCCTTTTTGAATCTCTTTGAGGTTCCATGAAGAAAAACCCTCATCTGGGACCTACTGATATTTATTTAGACGATATCTCAAACTTGGATGCGGAGCAATTAGCACTTTATTTCCCCAAGAGGTACGGCTAATGTTTCTGATTTCTTTGGAGAAACCATAGATGAAATTAGTATTGAATTAAAGTTAGAGTTGGAATGGGCCTTGAATGCCTTAGCCAATGCATTATGCAGGAACTTAATCATGACCAATGGCCACATAGGCTCTGTTTAAACCTTCACCATCCTGGTTTCTCTCCCACAAACATACTCCAGTTTGTCAATGTCCTTAAAAGGTGGTAATTTGAACAGGATAGTTTGTCCTCATTCAAAATAATCACAATCTGCCAATAGTTAAAGGTTATCATCCGCAATGTGCAGATTCAGAAGCCTTACAACTAATAGAATGTCGTCTTAGTATCTTACCACTACACTGGAGAAGAGGAAATGTGGATTGCATAAGCCCAAAGCCCATATATACTAAATTAAACTATGATATATATGCAAATTGTTTCAGTAACTGTAAGACAACATGTCTCTGTTCAGGTTGATTAATATTAACCCAATACAAATAAGATGACATTTTACATGTGTGTGTATAAATACACAAAGCAGAAATAAGGAAACTTGTGATTTTCCAAAAGTTGCTGGACTCCAATTTCCACCAGCCCCAGAAGCATGAATAATGATTAGGGAGGATGGAAGTTGGAGCCCAAGGGCCATAGTTTCCCTACCAGAACATAAAAGATAGAGTCGTCAATTGACAACTCCGGAGAACTCTCTTAAAAAAGCGGCCTCCCCCCCCCCCCCCCCCAGTCTTACTATAATAGATGATCTAGTGCTCAGAGATGAGGACAACAGTGAACTTTCCTGAAACAAGTAACATATGCCACCATTTTTCTTGCCTTAAAGGAATAATATTCACACGGTATAGATATTTATATTATCTTTTTTGGTTTTATTATTAGTGATGCTGAGCTGAATTGCCCACGAGCACAGTCTGATCCTGGCATCTTCTCTCATCCCCACATGCTGGGTGGTGCAATTGGTGACAACAGTACAGAGACTTTTTTGGAATCTATAGAACATAGCCTGATGCCCCCCATCCTCTTGTCTCTCTGTGGAGGTCTTGGGGATGATGGAGAGTTATCTCATGGTATGTTTAGAGGCAAAGGAGGGAATGCAGTTTGGTACTGTAAGGATTTTTGTAGAGATCTGATAGTGAGTTGGCATTCTACAGTGCTACCTGGTAAAGTTGTTCTAAAGGAGATGTTTATTAGGTGGGAGAAATAGTACCTAGTTACAGAATGAATTAGGGGGCAATTATCTAAAAATGAGGAATTCATGCTTGGATTTCCTGTGGCTTTTAAAAATGCATGCTGGTAAATACAGCATAAGGGTATATAAATCAGATCAGCATCATGTAGATGTAAAATGCTTATGAACTTGTTTCTGGTACCGATTATACATTTCTGCTTGGAAATAATTTTTTCCCTTAATTTCTTAGGGTATGGCTATTCACTTCATTTGTACCTGCTCTTAGTTGTGGTTTTTGTAGTTCTAGGGAAGACCAAACCAGCTAAATATATCTGCAGATCTGAAACCTGTCTGCCTCCAGTATGAAACTTCTAGTGATGTCCTTGGCTGCCTGACCTCCAAGAATCTTTGGGGAAAACATATAAGTTGTATTGCTATAGCAATAGATGGAAGTACTGTATGTAATGTAGGCTTGCTATAAAACATTATTATGATGGGACTAGGTAGAATTGCCCTGGTAATGGAAGTAGTAATTAATTTGTTAAAGTCTTTAGGTTAGTTACAACCAGTTACAAATAACTTTGTTGTGGCTTTCAGTTAGGTATACATTTTTTTGCCTTCCATTTTAGCAGAGAAGTTTATGAAGCATATAGTGTCCTATCAGGAGTTTGCAGAGAACCCAGCAATTCTTGAAGACCCAAATTTGGTAATACAGATCCAAAAGAAGTGAGTAGGAATGTCACTTTCATTTGTGGTATTTGTGTTCCCCAAAGGAGCTTTATATAGCCATGTATGTGTATGAGTGAGTGAATTCTAGTTGCATTCTGTGAGAATAGTGATATCCTTGGGTGTTCCTTAAGATCTGCCTTGCTGAGTCAGTGAATTTTGTATGAAGGTGGAACTTGCATTCCCCTCTTATGTGTTCTGGCTCCCAATTATTCCCAACAAAGAAAAAAAAAGACTTATATGTAGGTATATATGAAGCTCATACACTTCCATATACTGAGTTCAGCAACCATGACAGCAGTAAATACAGTATAGCCGGGATTGGCTTGTCCTTTGCTGGACTGCAGACATTATTATAGGCTAAACCTTCCTTCTAGAGGTTTGTTAAGATACCAGATTTAGATTTTTATGAAAACCTGTAATGTCACCTATTTCAGTTACACGTACACATTTGTGAAATGGACACACATACACCTGCATATACAGTACATTTCAGCTGTCTGTCGTAAAAACATCCTAATGTCTTGGAAACCCCATGAAACAATGAGATTTAGTTGAGTATGGCTGGGTTCAAACATTGGGCTTTGCCATTGGTTTGTGGTGTAATGTATTTAGGCAAATAATGACTTGGTGCAGTGTTTCAGACATCTACATGTATTCATCCATTCATACCGCAACTTCTTTCGGTTCTGTAGTGTTGATGATCCTTTTCCATCTATTACTTTGCTATCAGGTTCATACCACTATATACAGAGTTTTTTCTTCCCCTCTCTAATTGTAGATATTACAATTGGGCAGTTGCAGCTCCGATGGTTCTCTCACTACAGGCATTCCAAAAGAAGCTTCCCAAAGTAAGTTAATGCAATTTTGTGTTTAGTAAAAAAAATGTAATTTCTTACTTAAGTTTTTATGTTTCAACATTCAAAGAATGCTGTAACACAGATTCTTAACTCCATTACAGCAAACCATTTTTAACCTAACAAACTAATTGGTGTTCTCTCTCCAAAAGACCAGACTAATATAGCATGCCAGCAGAGAAGCAGACCTTTTATCCAAAGCTTCAGGATGTCTTAATGCTTCTGAATGGTATTGCAGCAATAGTTTATTAAGACTATCTTCTTTCTGTAGGGCTGTCAGGAATCCTAGTTTCCTGGTTTCCAGAGAATGATAAGCCCATATGTAAGATGAATTTTTTTTTAAATGGCAATTTACTTGTCCAGGCAGGTGCTTATATTTGATGGACATGGTGTCAACTCTCTGTACAAACATTAGATGCTAGGATTGGAAGTGATATTCTACCTTATGATTACCAACCCATATTTAAGTATTGTATTTTCCCAATCTAATTAAAACATTGAATATGGCACTATAGCAGATCTTAATATGAGATTATCATAGTCATATATTTTTTAAAAAATTGCTAAGTTGTGAAATGCAGTCTGCTGTTTGGGTTTTGTCACTGATTTTTAATTTTATACAGCTAACCTACTTAACAGAAGAAAACCATACCTAAAACTGTATTAATAGTATACCTTCAAAATTAATAATTCTGAAAATAATAGAAGAAAGAGGAAAAGATTGAGGGGAGGAGGCCTAAGAAAATTATGTTATAAGTAGTCCAACTTCCCAGAGTTTGGTGGTAATGCTTAGAAGTCTTCTTTCTTGCCCTTTGTTAACAACTGAATTAGTCTTTTTCTCCAAATAAAATATGTTCATCAAAATGTATTTTTTAAAAAAGTAGGACGGAATTGCATAAAGCAGGGTGAATAACGCAACTGGTTATCTGTGAAAACAAATACTGTAGTAAAGATGACTAAAGAAGTAAGATGATCTATTTCAAATATTCTACAAAGTATGTATTTGTATAATGAGGTAGAAAAACTAGTTAAACCTGATGCCATTGTAAATAACAAAGGCATTATTTCCACCTACATTAGTAGTCATAGTTCTGCCTACATCATTTTGATATTTCTGGTATATTAGCAATAGCAAACACCTTAACTTAGGCCCTTAGTAGTTAAGATGTGGTTTATACCTTAAAGTTTAATATTGCACATTTTGTTAAATTCCTATTGTCTAGGTTATACTGAATATTTTTCTTTTCATTTAATGCCTTATTAACCACATCTAACAATAAATTTTAAGCAAGATAATCTTGCCATAACTATCTCTACTTTGTAATCTTTTTCATCAAAATCTTCATCTATATTGCTTCATAAATGTCCATTAAGTCTTTCCTAAAATCCATTATCTTGTTTTTGACTTTGCCAGAGATGATGCCATTAATTTTGTATAGCAAAATCTCTCTTATTCCCCATCTTCCAGATCATGGACCAAATACTAGCCACACACAGAGGTTGTTGCCTTGCCCTTTCCTTAATTTTCCTTAATATGAGATAGAGGTGAGAAAAAAATGATTCAGTTTGCCTGGACTATTTTTAAGTCCTATCCCCTCAATTTGTGATTTCTGATACTATGCCAATGTAGTATGTTACACATGAAAACATGCTTCTGATATAAGCAAATACTTTCAGGCTTCAGGAGATAGATAGATAGATAGATAGATAGATAGATAGATAGATAGATAGATAGATA